TATGTACTTTAATACTATCACCAATACTTCTGGCCCCATGAGAGTGTACCTACCCAAAATACATTTTCTATCACATTTCTTTCAAATGAAAATATCATGTCGTATTAAATGCAATCTTGCTCTCCGTTTTGATTTCATTATGAAACTGTTTCTTTTTTATAATGCAATGGCAAACTAATTGCAATAATAACATAAGGGAACAAAATATTATTTTTTTATGTTGCATGAAGTTTTGTAGTTGTTGTTTACTAACTCGAGGTTGCTTTTGACACCTACCCTTATTTTTTTGCATCACCTCTAGTTTTTGATATACAGCCATACTGGCCGGATTCCTCTAAACCTAGCCTGTACGGCTAACACGACAGGGCGCAACTTGCGCGAGATCACCTTAAAATAAAGATACTCCTATTCTCGCATAGAGATCTCGAGCTTTATGTTGCTCTCGCACAATTCGTGCCCTGTTGTGTTGGGTTAGCCCTACTGAAATGCGTACTTATGCATAACGGCAATAAACTGGGTTCATTGCAGATTGCATATTCAACTAAAGTCAAAGAATATGCTACTGCAGCTTCTGGGTAAAACAAAGTACAACGTACACAAGTGCCTGATATTTGTAAATCTAAAAATGGTGAATTCTCTTCTAGGACAACAATGAGGCCATACAAAATACCCTAGTTTAATTTGTCTGTGGTACAGCAGAACTAAATCGAGCACTGGGTTAGAAAAGACTCACCTTCCAGGGAAGATACGGTTCCGGGGAAACAATATGGTCAATGATCGCATAATACTCCCACCTCTGCATATCAAACTAGGGTTCATGAAACAATTTGTCAAGGCCCTCTAAAAGGATGGTGATTTTTTTAAAACCATCTCGAAAAAATTCCATGAGTTCAGAGAAACTGAAAGGCGAAAATTATTGATGGTCCTCGAACAAGGTTGATCAAGGATGAAAACTTTAGTAGTTATACGATTGATATTGAAAAAAATGCCTGCATGCAATGAACTTTTTTTGGATAGCACAACATTTTCTGGGACGAATGCTATGCGGAACACGTTGAAGAGATATTGTCACACTTCCAGCAGCTTGGTTGTAATATGAGCACCAAGGTAAACTTCTTCCACAGCCGTTTCGGCCGTTTTCCTAAAAATCTGGATGATCTGAGTGAACAACAAGGGGAATGGTTTCACTAAGATATTAGTACTATGGAGGAGCAGTACCAGAGTCGCTGGGATGTTGGCAGACTACTCGGAGCATTAGAAATAGCCCTTGTGAACCAAGCCAAGCAAGAAAAGCCCATAAAAGAAGTTATTTTGATGAGTCGTAATTGTTTTTAAAATATTTTTCTTTAATAAAACTTTTTTCTTGAAAATCGTGTTTTCCTTTTCCTAAAGCTGATACAAAAAATCTGACTTCAGATCTGAAATCAGCGCGCCAATTATGTATACTATTAGTCATAATATTTAATGGAACAAAATGCTGTTCCCTTGTGTAAACCTCTTGCAATAATAATAAAAAAAGTTTTGATATTTTTAATGTAAGCTTTTATTTCAATTAACTATGACCTTGACACGATCGTAATTGTAAGAAAATAAAAACACTCAAGTATTTTTTCAATTTACGTTATATTTTATACATTAACAATAATTACTTACATTAATATAACTTACAAATTAAAATTAACAATGTTAAAAAAAACAAGTATATGAAAGAGCTGTGGTGCAAAAAAAAACATTAACTGAATTCAATTTCTATAATCTCACGTTGTTATCAGTAAGAAAAGGACAGAAGATTATTTCACTTT